TTTATACCCATTTGTTCTTGTGCCTACATTGTCCTACACTGCTCTTTTCCCTTTATGGTGTTTAGTCCTCTGCTGTACTTGTAGAGAGCAATCATATCCTTTCTGAGCTTTCGTTTTGCTGGGCTTAATGTTCTGTTGTCTGATAAATTCAGGACAAATCCTCAGATTCATGCACACATACAAACCCTTAACTACACCAGGGGAACTTTACTTGTGTGAATAGTCCCATTGGAGTCACATGCACAAGTGATTTAGGAGGGATGCCAGATCTGGTGGTCAATAGGTGAACACTGTCTCTCATTTAAATTGCTTTGGAATAACTAGTCCATCCTTCCATCCAATTAGCTCTCTTTTAAATTTAATTTTAGCTTAGCATGCTTTTCAGTTTTCCGAAACTGAGTTCAGTGGTATTTCATCCTTTGAATCGTTACTGTTGTTTGTCAAAGTATACAAATGACTACCTGCTGTTAAATTGTGAACTTTTGCTTTTTTGTTTCAGGTGTTTTGCATAAGCCATTGCACAAACCCAGTGCTGTGCATATTTTTACATTGCACATACAGAACATTCATACTTTTAAATTTGACATTTGCATTTTTAATTTACTTTCATTAGGAACTGGCATGTTTGAAAAATGAACAAAAGAGTTCATGAACTCTTTTGAATGAACAAGATGAACAAAAGACATGGGAAAGAGTGGCCCATTTTCACACAAATATGTTGTGAAATATTCTTAATTTTTTGGATGTGGAATGGACCTTTCTTGTGTGTTCAAACAGGAAAAGTGGGGCACTATATTTCAGTAAGACTATTTCATGTTTTTAACTTGAGAGTCATAGTTGGCAGAATGAAGCAGGCTGTTAATACAATAGCTATGTATTAAAGAGTAACTGGAACGTAATATTAATTAGCTGTTCAAAGAAAAGAAAAGGTGCTTTTCATTTATGTGTAGCTTCATTTTCATTGTATTCCAATGTCATTTGCTACTATTAAAATACAAATGGGGACTTTGTCTAATAACTATTCTGTATATGAAGTCAGTGGATTAAAATTTGGCTTGCTTACACTAGCCTGTGTATTTTCTGTTACTTGAAACTGGCCCTGTTTTTTTAAACTGCAATTCTGCACCCTTTTTGCATTAAGTAATTCTTGGATGCAGATCCACAGAGGGTCTTAGGCACGGTGATGCTCAGTGTTACCACACTTAAAATTTAGGGATCCAGCTCCAGGAGTGGAATTCAAAGGCTCTATTTAGGTCCTCAAGTTTCCAACACAGTGGAGGGAAGGATTAGGGTACGTGTGTACCATTTCCCTGGTGAGCCCATAACTGCTGCTGAGAAGATAGAACTGATCCTGCAAATGTGGTAGCATGGATGGATTGCAAGAGCCCAGAGCATGCACCTGAGGTCCTGAGACCTTGAGTCAGATACCCAAGAGAAACTTGGATTCACAGATTGCAAACCCATTAAGTACCGAACATAAACCTTTGCAAAGCAATCAGTTCTGGGGGAGCAAAATCCAGGATCTAGTCCCAGACACTCCACAGATCTTCAGGACTGGAAACAGCCGACTCTACTTCTAGTTCTGGTGAGTGTAACTACTATCACTGCTAATTACCCCACCTGCAACATCATGTGATTGCAGCTGTTTTGCTTCCCATTTGAGAAACATTAAGACAACACAAGGAAGAAGAGAGGGACATGAAATGAATTAAAATAAACAAATACAGCTAGTGCCAACTGTTTTAGGGGAACTAGGGAGGAAAATTAAATTTTGTTTCTGAATTCTATAAGAGGCATTCATGTTGCCAGATGCATAGATTGACTACAAGAAAATAAGGGGCTCTTACAATCTAGTCTGATCTTCCTAACAGGATTTTCTTGTGTTAATTCCTGTTGGGATGTCAACACCTGTTTTAGAAACACCCCCATCCTTGATTTAAAAATGTTTGGTGGCAGAGCATCCACCACAATCTTTGGTAAGTTATTACACTTAAGTAACTTGTGCCTGGTATCAACTTGTTTCATTGTTCAGCCATTTGATCCTGTTATAAAAATTGTATTAAGTGCTCAGTGCAGAAATGTAGAAAGATTGATAGATGTGAGCTATATTTTTTTATCTGTATTGTGAAAGTCCCCTGGATCAAAGGCCTACTAGGTTAGGCACTATACATACAGACAATAAAAATGCTTCCTGCTCCAGAAATATTCACAAGCTAAGTAGACACAGAATATTTTCCAGAATATGTGGAACCAAGAGTTCTAGTTTTTTATATGTATTCTTGTCTCAGACCAACACAGCTACCAAGTTCACACCTAGAACTACTGTAGGGATTTTTTCTTTTAAATGTCCTTTCTGCTTGATTCTGTTTCAATATTATTACCTGGCTGTCATGGTTGCATGATGTAATGGGAACCTTTCAGAATTATCAATAAGGTTATTAAAGTGAACTGCTACTTCCAGAAAAAATACTATAAAAACCTCATAAAATTCCATAATCCATACTTCAATAAGCCAGCATACTATAGCTGTCTACACAGTACATCACCTGAACCCTTATTTCAAGTGTGTCAGTCATTTGAAGACTCCCTGTCATCTAATGGCTGGCCTTGTTGCTCTGTGGTTTGTGGATTGAAATGCAATGTAAAAGGCCCGGGCTTTATTTCTTGGCATGTGGTCAGCAGGGGTACTTTAGTGATAGCTTGATGAGACCTTGAGGAGGAGAAAGCACTTCATGATACTCTAAAGCAGCCCTTAAGCTCAAGTAAAGAGTAGGGCCAATGGGTTCCAAAGGGAAATCTCTCGTGCCCACTTACTGACATCCTTAATGAGGTCTTTTGCTGGAGGAACTGTTGCAGCATAAGACTATGGCTGCTCCTAACTTTGCTGTAAACATGGGGTCATGATGCTGAAGCTTTTACTAATGTGAATAGTTCCTGTGATACAGAGTAAGTCCTCCTGAACACCTTGCAACACCAGACCTATAAAGGTGAGATCTAGCATAGATAGTGTGCAGGTCTGCCTTTGCTTATGCAGATGAAAAAAGTGGTTATGAAGCATTTATCAAATCAGGTGAGAGCTACAGCTGTTGGCAGTCTTAATGGCATGCTGTCTACGGTACAACCCAGCTCCGCAGACAACAGTTTATGTTTTACCTGTGATTCCTTTCCAGGACAGTAAGAAATAATATCTTATTTACAGCTTTCACTAAAACAATACAATGCAATGACAATAAAATTATATATAATATAATAATAACATGTACATAATTTATAAACTAGTAAACTCGTGACTTATTTAGTATCAGAGGACAGTGTGGCAGTGGAGAACAGTCATTATTCAGCACCACAGACAGAGAACACCAGTGCCCAGTCATCTGGCTTCACACACTGGGAAATCTACCATTGCTGTTTAATACTTATAGAAATATCTAATAACCATAGCAACCACCTAATGCAGCCATTCCTTAAATTTTGGAGATGCATAATTGCTATGCGTTTATATATCTTTATTTTCTGTGCTACTGAAATACACTAGTTAATATATAAATATGGCTCACTTTGGTAGGTTTGGAGGTAGAAGGACATTAAGAACTATTTTTCAATTTACTGATAAAAAGTAAGGAAAATAAAGGGGACTGGTAGAATTGAATATAAATCCTGTAGTATCAGTGTATCTGATAACCTCAGCTAGCTTGTATGTGAATAATCATGCTGGAAATTTATTCTAAGTCTTACACTGATATAACTAGGAGATGGAAACCATCTCATGCCATGTTAAAACAAATAAACTGAGTTCAAATTTCAAATACCACCTACTCAAAATGAAGTGCTCCTGAGCCATATACAGGACAACACTAGTTTATTATATTACGACTAACTGTGAACAATGCCTACATTGAAGGTAACTGTAGACATACTACAAATAGTTAAAAAAAAGACTAATCAGAGGATTTGCTATGCAGTATTCATGTAATGTTGATCATTAGGATTGACAGCAAGAGCAGAATATTATATATGCATTGCACAAACTTTAGCATGATTTTGCACTTGGAAAAATGGTTGGGATTTTAGGAAGCAATGAAGAAGCACAGTTTGGTGCTGTCTATCATCTTAGGGTTGCTACTGGAGCTCACCTCTGCAACATCTTAGCCAGTCATTCTCCACCTTTTGGCATTTAAGATGCTCCTTGTTTAGCTTCAGGAACCTTTTGGAAAATCTCAACTCTTACTTATTCACTCCTTTTTTACTACAAAAAATAACAGAGCATTTCTTTTCTTGAAAAAAACTTAGACTACAATGTGTCAATGTGTCAGAATGTTTTTATTGCTATGAATTCTCATTTGAAATCTTTAGGTTTATCTTGTGAATTATGTTTGCACATCTAACAGTGTTAGCATTGCATGGCACCCCACAGCACCCTTCAAAGCATCTCAAGGCACCCTGAAAATCACTGAATTTTAAGCAGCTAGTTGTGGTATCAGTAGAAAAACAGAGCTATACTTGTTAGAGGGTCACCTTCCAAAAAAGGATACAAAAGCACTAGGTTGTATGAGTATTTTTGTGCTTGCTTTAGTGAGAAATAATTTGGTTCCTAAGCTTTCCACTTTTATGTCAGATTTCAGAACACACGAGTCTATAAGGAAATATTGAAGGGTATGCTACAGCCATTTGCCTGGGCATTGAAATCCATACCCATTACACCTGAGATGCCAAGACTTACTATGTGGCCAAAGCCTGGCTTACAAATAGGTTTATGAATATGATCAGAGAGGCCTCAGGTGGGTTGAGGAGTTGAATGGGAACTGGGCATTGCAAGGAAGCACTGCACACACCCAGGACTTTCTCAGTCTCAACCCTGAAGGCCTAATATAATGTCTTTCCTGTGACTGTTGTCATATATATTTATTTCTACAGATTTTTGAGCTCTATTTCTAGGTACCCACCTTATAGTCAAGGTCCCTGTTGCATATATTTCCATCACATAATAGGCAAAGACCTGCATGTATCCCCTCAAACCTGCTCCCTCTGCAACAGGCTTACAGAAAAGTGAACCACCTGCAGAATCACTACTTGGCTTCTATGGGCTTTTGCCCTACGCCTTCAGTCTGCGTCCAGACGAGCACAGCCACGCGGTATGTGTCACCACAAACACGTCTGCAGCTCCATGTACCACACATTCAGATGCTCTCTGAGCTGCCCATGCATAGGCTGCTCCACCTTTTTTTTCCTGTGGATTTTTTTGACCCCTGGATATCCCATACATTGATTATTTTAAAATCATTCGTGATTTTTAAGCACATTTCATTTATGCTGGTCAGACTCATAAACAGATTGAAGCACTCAGGGCTGGTAATTCTGTGTATAAGAAGTATAGGCTGCTTTGTGCCTTCCTGGAGCCCCTCTTCTAGGTCAGGATTCAGATAGAAAAGAGCATGGCAACTTTTGGGAATGGTGCTCTGTGAGCGTATGAGATGTGACCAGGAAGCACTTGCCAGGCTTCATTCCATATAGGAAAAAGAGCCAAGATTTAGTGCTGCTATTACATATGACATGTATCATAAGTCATCTCTTTTTTTTATACAAATAGCAAATCATACTTTAGTCAAATGCAAGTAATTGGGCTTAATGCAGTGGCAAGTCAGTGAAATTGTGTGACCTGTGTTATAGTAGATGTCAGATTAGAAGATCTAATTGTCCCTTTGGGCTTTAAAATGTATTGATCATAAAAACTACAATGAGCAAGGAAGCCAAAGGTTCACTTGTCTTTGGCTGACAAAAGAATATAGGAAAATTCTGGAGCCAAAGTTCTCTCTCCATCTTTTTCACACAGCTTAGGCTCTGTGCTGAGGGGGAAAAAAAAAGCCTCAGTGACATAGGCACTCTAGGGAAAGCTAGGAGCTTGAATTATAACATACCAGCGCAGACGATTGCTTTTAAAGGAAAACCTACTGCTTTTCAACCAATACTTGTCGGGGAAGTGCTAAGAGGAATTTTCAAGCTATTGTTCATAAATGCCAAAAGTCACTGAATTGAGACTCTCTTATTCACATGATTGTATATAAAAGCAAAATGATCCGTCATCTCTGATCTTGAGTTTTCATGTGATCCACACATTCAGGTCATAGGTCAGTGAAAGAAAAATCAAATGAGTAGCATTTTCAGAAACAATTTCCCTGTGTAAAGTGTTGTTTAACAGCAGAGCCTTAGGCGGGCTATCCATTTCCCAAGGAAAGGAGTTTAAAATTGCATTTGGGGGTCCATCACCTTTATTCTTTGGTGTCTGTTCTTGTTCCCTTTTATTGTTCTCTGCCTTGAGCTTTATAGGGGAACCTACAGGCTCTGCTCTTATTTTAAACATGTTTGATCTCTGATGTGTTCTTAATGGAGTTGTCAGATTCCTGCTGTAATAAAACCACAGTTGTTTCCCATCAGAGGGAACTCAACTGGTACAGTCCTTTGCTTTTCAACTAAAAAGGATCCCATCTGAGCCAGTTGTTTGAACATGTTTTAGGGGAAATTAAAAAGGAATTCAACTGGTGCAGACTAGTTGAAGATGGACTTTAACACCAGGCAAAGTATGAACAATTCCAGTTAACTATGAATAGAATTAAATCATTTCTGCTGAAAATCAAGCATCATTAAGAAAGACCTAAAATAATTTTACGACTAGTAAAGTGTGAACCATCAATACTGTAAACTGCAATGAGCCTGGTCTTTATTTTTGTTGGGTAAAACATACTTTATGAAGTACAGAAACCTCCACTGCTAGGTTAGTGGTCCAGATTTTGTGTGGAGGCCCCCTATTCCAGTTCCCAATGAAATCAAAGGCAAAGATCTTTCATATGACAATGGCAAAATTCCCACTGTCTCAAAGGGAGATGGAGAAGGTGTTAGGTCAGTAGAAATGAAAACCACTTTACAATAGTTACTTTATGGCTACTGCTTGGAGTCAGTGAAATTAGTTTGTCTCAGTCTGTCAGTCCAGTATCTAATGTGCATGAGTCCTCATGTAAAAATCCCAATTAGTACTAATTGACACCCTTGCTGGCACTTTCAGTGGTGAATTCAATAAGTGGTGAAGACATAACTGAATGGACACAGGAGCAGAACTCATCGAGTCTCACTGCAGGAAGAGGTCCTTCCACAAGAGTGAGGTACACTGGTGGGCACTATCTGGAAGTGTCAGTGTCTTTACCATACATACATAAAAAACTTCAGCTTCCAGGGCCGGCAAGAGAGCTTAGTGGTAGAAAAAGTATGGCATTACTTTGAATAGGCTGATATTTCTGCTTTAAGAGCAATTGGGCTCTTGGGAATGACATTGGTGATATCTAGATAAATAACCTAGTGAGGGAGTAAGTTTTTCTCCATCTTAATGGGGATGATAAGAACTGCCTACTCTTTTCCAGAGGTCAGCCCAAAACAACCAAGGGAAAGGCAATGCAACAAGAACCCTAGGTCCAGATTTTTTTTAAAAACCCCAAAAAGCAGGTGTCTAAAACTACGTTAATAATTTCACATTTAGGCACTTAAACAAAATGCCCTGATTTTCAGAGTGCTGAGCTTCCTGCCTACAGTTTGAATTCAAGCAACCATATTGTAAAACCTCAGCCCTTGTGTCTGCTGGCCCAGCCATAGAGGAGCTTCTGGCAAGAGAGCAGTCTCTCTCTAGGAAGAGGTGCCGGGGGTAACAGCATTGTATTGTGATTATGGAAGAACACATGGAGGCCCATGGGTGGCCATTTTCAAAGACACCCAAGTGACTGTTGAAATCAGTGAGATGTTGTTCCCAAGTCCTTCAAGCCAGGCATGTGCTGCCTTCCTGCTGAACCTGAAACTCCTAGTGAGAAACAACCCTCATCTATCTACTTCTTCCCATTCTGTGCATACACCCAGATAGGTTTTCTTGGGAGAGCGCCTGAGAGTAGCACTGAGGTACCTAAGGACCTAAGCCATCTATACTGCCTAACTACTGGGCTTGGGCATGAAAGCCATACAGGCACAGCCTTAGGTGGTTTTTTTCCAAAATCCCTCTTTATTTTTAAGAGCTTTGTTATGAAATTGAATGCTTAAAATGGTTACTTGCCTGCATGATTTGGCACATTGCACATAACGACCTGATCTGTATGGGCAACTTTAAGGTCAGATTCAACAACAGGCCTAACAGTGTTTTCCTTTAAGCACATGCTTAATATGTTTGTGTTCTGCCGAGCATTTACACATCCAATTGAAGTCAATTGCAATTAAACACACAATTAAAATTATGTATGGTCCTAAATATTTTGCCATACTGGGGCTGTTATACCCAGAGAGGTCTATCATCTATGTTGTTCAGAGTAACAAATGCCCAGTTCAACTGGGTACACAACATGGTTTATGAAGGGCAATAGAAGCTGAAGACAGACTGGTACAAATGTGGTAGTTTATGTTAAAAGGGGTCTTCAAGGCTCCTGGTAAAAGTCCTGGATTGACACTGCATTAAGTCAGAGTATTTTAGTAATGGAAGGAAATATTCATGGTTGAAACAGTCATAATGTGTTTTGATTGGTTACTTTAAATGGGGAGATGTTGCCGCACATGCTTGAACTTTATTTATCTGAAGGTCACTAATCAAGAACAGTGAAACATAGGGCCTGGAAGCAGCAAACTTTCCCAGCAGACTGCCAATCCCATTGTCCTCTAGGACCTAAGAATCCACCTTGTTCTTGTCCTGATCCTAAAAAACATCCTGACCAGACCAAATGAGGGAAAAGGAACCACTTGTACTGGCTGACTAAATACTAACACCCCAGAGGAGTTAGTGTGCTTACGCAGGTGTGCTTCAGGTATGCTTATGCAGTGCGAGGCAGTGCCAGGCTGAGAAATGTGAGCTAATTCTGCGTATACAAGCTACCAAGCCAGAAGCTCTAAGTAGCTGGAGAATGGCTCCATGCAATCATGGCTGTCTCAGGTGTTGCTACGTAGCACAAACCAGTGCCTTACAGACATGCCTTTTGGTTTCTCCAGTCACCTCTACTTTTGTATGTCATTTTTCTTCCCCCTTATTCCTTCTCTTCTTTTTTCTCTTTTTTTTTGCCTGCTAGCTTAGCCAGCCAGATAGGTCTAACTGCTCCAAGAGTGCTGTGAGCCTATGACTTAAAGGCCATCTGAAAGCAATGCATTAAGCAGACCAAATTTGTAAAAGTTTCCAGGTCTGGAGTGGCTGACCAAAATGGCTATTATGTCTGAATTTCTCTGTTTCTTGCACAACTTCCTCTGGCAGAAGAAAATTGAAACCAGAGGCAGAAGCTCCATGTTCTGTCTTTGCTCATCTTTCTGCTCTGTTTTTGGGTGTGTTGTTTTGTTCAAACCAGCAACAATGGTTCAAGACCCAAACTAACTGGTTCTCTTTTCCCTCATGAGTGATAGTTAATGGTGTCTCTAGTACCATTTAAAGTAGCTATCAAATAGAAATTTCCTCTAATACGGTAAATAGGAGAGGGAGTAGGAAAATTGTTAACGTAGATGGCTGTTGTATACTTTAAGTTTTAAAGCTTTGATTGCTTTTCTTTTTCTCTTTCTTTAACAGGTGATCTTTATTGTTGGTTTCATTCACTGATAACCTGAATGAAACCCCAGGCCATGCTGAAATGTTTAAAAGTTGTAAACACTGAACAAAGGTTGCATTAACATTCATTCCTTGTTGAGCCCAAAAATCCCTTTATTAAGATGATAAATCTAGCTGCACATTTCTATTAGTTCAGTGGTTATTAGGTATTGCATGTTTACATATAAAAGTGTGCACCATAAGTATATGTAGATATACTTAATCTGCATAGTTACAAAGCAACAATTTTGATATGTTAGGAATGTATAAAGAAAATTATCCCTCATGTATTGTATAGCCAGCCTGATGATAACAAGACAAGTCATGAGAAATGTCATTCAAAGAAAAAGTAGGTTCAGCTGACTGAGATGGCATTGGTCATTGTATGTACATGTGAGAATTGTTTAATCATCCAGGGCAAAATATGAATTGAGCTAAGCTTTGGATTTTTCTGTCCTCTGCTGAAGCTGGAATATGTATGGTTTCCAGTGACTGTTCCCTGTTTGGTAAGGGTATAACAGCATACTTGTGTCTGCATTTTAAACT